AAGCAACAGGTCGGTCCGAATGTAAGACGGTGGAGATTGTCTGTCCGAGCAACGCGTCGACCAAAGCGGCCGAGTGTAAGAAGGATTCGACGACGGATTGTCCGAGTGTAAGAAGGAGGAGGATTGTCTCCGACTACAGCGGTTCGAGTGAAGGCGTTCGAGGGACGCATTCGAGTACGGCTTTCGCGGGACGCATTCGCGTGAGGGAGCCGGGCGCGGGGGACGGGGACCAAGGAATACACATATTTTGTGGGAGGGAAGAACGACGGAAAGAAGGCGGCAACGACGGAAGGAAGCCGGCAACAACGGCAGCCACGACGGCGACAACGACGGTAGAAGCATTTGATGTTGTTGTTATACTGCGGTTTTTTATTGTACGCACATAGAGACAGTGTGTGAAGGCGTTTAGTGAAGACGGCAGGTGGGGCGGGGGCGTATATTCATGACGTGGTGAGTATTTTTCCTATTTTTTCTTCTCCCTCCTTTTTTTTTTTTTTTTCTTTTCTTTTTTTCTTTTTTTGATACGTGCGTTATGGGAATTGAAGTAAATGGCAGAGTTATTTGTAGTATATAGTGTTAGGACGCAGTACATGCAGAATATTGTATAGTAGCAGATTATTCTGATTCATATAATCAGGTTAGTTTACTCATTGGGATTATAACCTGATGACACAGTTATTTTGTACATAGTCTGCGTCTTTCCTTTTGTACATATTTCTGTCCCTTTTTTTACATTGTTTCTCGTTCCTCCCGTTTTCTACTCTTCATTCTATTCTTCTTATGCGTGCCCTTCAGTCTTTTTCGTCTGTTCCTCTTTTTCAGTTGTATGGCACGCCCATGTAGAACTTGAATGAATTAAAAATTTGTAGTGTGTACATGTTAGCTAGCATAAATGAGAAAGGGGAAACCTATGATTCATGTACAACAGGCAGTATCATAGTCAACGGTATAGCCTGCGGGGGCATAACAAATTCATTAGATACTGTAATGATATGCGAAGCGTATGCATAGTGATCCAGTTATGTAGTAGTATCATGGAAGCAGATTTCGTACATTTACTGGCAGAGTGGCTAATAACCTGGCAAGGACAGGGAATTGACGGTTTTTACGAGGTAGGTTATGGTACGCACAGAATGCAAAAGTGCGCAGCGCACGGAGCGCATACGTGAGTGCAGTGATGTGCTCACCAGGAACGTGTGTTACGGGAATATATAGATGCGTATGGCGAACACTGCATTGGCATATTGGGTAGAGGATGAGTGCGCGGACAGCAAGTATTGAACTATGAGTATTCACATACGTCATGTACTAGCAGCATTATGCCGTTGAAACATTCGGGGTTACTACTTTACCCTTTACAGACAGGAATATGGGCAGATATGAAAAATATGGTGCACCAGTTTCTTAGCTATATGGAGAACGATGCTGGAATATATTCGACATCGTGTAATGATAAAGGATGGTGGAAGGAACGAAACACAAATTGGCATAATGCTGACGACAAAGTTGTATGCAAAATGATGGTGCCGGCATTATTTTTCATGAATGGCTGGGGGACGAGTGCAGACGGGGGATACGATGCTTCGGCCGTAGGAACCCCATTACACACATATATACGGTGTATAATCGTGAATGTATTTATGTTCCAGTTAATGAAAGCCAACTGTGGCAGAAATCACGGTATACGACAGGCCTTGCATATATTTGAACCCTTTATGGCCAGTGTGCCTAATGCTGTGAATCCTAAAATGTGTACCTGGGTGGTTAGTAATGAGCTGAAAGTAGGAGGAAGAGTAATAGGCGCACAATTTGATGACTGGATAATGGGGAATGAAAAAATGAAGGCCAAGATGAACAAGTTACAGCAACGTGTAAAATGCAACAGACCGGGGACACAGACATCAGACAATGGCCAGGCAAGTATAGAATTATTGAAACCAGGACCCTTGAGGGCAGCAATGGAGAAAGGAATGACGCCTATATTAAAGAAAGTACGGAAGAAAGTAGGGGGCGTATGGGGGGAAGGTGCTGCCGACGACGATGATGAGGACGACGATGATGATGATGAGGATGATGACGAAGAAGACGACGAAGATGAGGATGAGGATGCAGAACAGGAGGACGCGAATGGTAAGAAGAGTAAAGGAACAAAGTGCTAAGAATACCAGCACTAGGAACACGCACAGTACGCACATGGTCGATACGCATACGGCCGCATACGGCCCATACGACTCTGCACGCACGCACGCGGCGGAACAGCACAACAGCACAGCGCGGCACATCTTCGCTGCCCCACTTCGGTTGAGCGGTGAGCGGCCTCCGTAGAATTGCCGAGCGCTGAGCGGTGTCCACGACGGGAGCGGTAGTGGTGACGAAGTGTAGACCAGTGTGGAGGAGCGTGCCGTTCGCTTGAGCCGCGGGGTGTCGCGCGGCGGCCAGGGCTACACCGGCGTTGTGATGACGACAACAAATAAAAGTGTACTGCTACCATCTATTCCAAGTTCACCGAGTACGCAGTCCACCTCACCGTGCGCTTGCTACCGCCCTACCGCCCATTCCCGTTCCTTCCGTGGTGTTTCTTCTTCTTCTTCTTCTAACAACGTCCGCCCTTTTAAGAGTTGTCCTTCAACAATCTCTTCATTTTTCTTGTTGTTCTTCCTGCTTTATTCTAGAATCATCCCCCAAGGAGAAAACACCAGAGCCCGCAGCGGGTGTCAAGGCAGCAGACCGCGACAGCACACCAGGGATAGGTGCAGCAAGATCCGCACAGCCACCAGGACCAGGAAGAGCAGATTCCTCAGCATCCGGGGAAGACGTACCACCAGCTAGACCACCTCCTCCACAAGCCCCTGTATCACCACCCGAATCACCATCATCACCAACTGACAATAAGGCAGCATCAGGTACAGGAAGTACCGACAATGCAGAAACAGGGTCAACGGCAGCACCATCGGGAACACCTCAGACAGAAGGTAAGAAATCAGGGACCGAATGTGTCACTAATATAAATGAAGAGAGCACACATAGTACGTACGCTGGCAAGCACACAGTACGTCTGAGCATTTCCTTCACTAACACGGATCCGACGTCTGGTTGCTCAGGAACTGGTACCCCAGGTAGTCACACCTATTAGAACAAACACAAACAGAAAAAAAAAAAAGAAACAACTTTTCCGCAGACAGCGGGAGAGACACCACGGAGAGCGGGAGACACCACGGAGAGAGAAACCAAACGTCGAATAAGAATGCAAGCGGCAGAGCCACGGGTCGGCCGCGGGAGGTAGCGGCCGGTAGAGAGACGTACAGAGGTAGACAGGTAGCTACGTGGACGTAGACGTCGATAAACACAGACACACACACTGTGTGTTGTGTGTTGTGTGTATTGTGTGTTGTGTTGTGTGTGTGTGTTGTGGCACAGAGAGAGTCTTTTCCCGGGGTGGCACCGTAAGCACCGTTCTTCTCCTGGCCCGCCGTCCTCCCATCCCCGTCCGTCTCCTGCGTCCACGTCAACGAAGTGTTGCTGTGCTCGACTCAACGAGGGGGTGATGTTGCGCACCGCGCTGTTGGTTGTTCCCGTGTGCGTTGTTGTGGTGGGCGCATGCATATGGTGGCCGTGCGTGTGTTGTGGCCGTTGCGTTTTTGACCGTCCATCCGTGCGCAGTCGTATCGGTGGCGGCCGTATAATACGTGTTGGGCCGTGTTGGTGCTTTCTCCCATCGGTCTTACCTACGGGTCCTGATGTGGCCGGTGTGGACGATTCTTTGCCACCTACTTTGCCGGATGGTGCTGGTGTATCGCTGTTGACAGAGTTCGATACTATGGCCTCATTCACGTCATCGTCGATATCTGTACTGGAGACGTCTTGGATAGGCTCCATGCATGCTCCATTTTCCCGCGCGCATTGCACTACCTCTTTCTGTACCTCCTCAACTATGGTCTTCAGTTCTTGGCTTAGTGTCTGTATCAGTCTTTTCTCCTGTGGCTGCAGTTTTATTTTTTCATCCTTGTCATGTTTACTCGCCTTGCCCGCCCCAAGTTCTGCTAAGCTTTGCGTACATATGCTTTTTATTTTGTTCCCTCCAATTTTTTCAGTCACGCCTTTGTTTTTCTTTAACCATTTCTTAATCTTCTCTGCCATGTCGAATTCCTTTGTTTGTATGTTTTGAAACATTCGCTGTCCACATTTACCGTTGGTTATTAAACCAGGCCCTATCCCGTCTTCCATCTCTTTCATTGTGTACCATGCATAATATAAACCCCAGTCTGCACCACATGATGATGCCCTCAGTATTTCCATATACATATTCACTATTGCACATCTCACATATTCCTTCAGCTCATCATCATTACTAACCCCCATACCTGGTCCCGACTTATGCCAACTTTTCTCATTCATAAAATATAATGCTCCTACCATCATTCTGCACATAATTCTTTCTCCCGCGTATGTTACCCTTCGCGGCAGACGATAAGGATCCTTCGGGTGGTTATAATACGCATTCTCACAGTTCGCATCCCAACCTTCCGTCTCCGTTTGTGTTATATGCGTTATAAATGCTTGTAACTCCATTTGTATATCTTCCCACAGTTTTTTCTGCAATTAATATAACACATATACATATATGCATAGTGTACAACTTGCGCGGCCTCCTGTACACTTAATCCACCTGTGAATACATTCCTATGCACTAGGCGCGCGCGCACTATCATAACAGGGGACTCCGTCCGTACTCAGTCACATATGGCACGTATCTACGCTGCATAAACTGCCTCCCCATTATGCATAAGCTAAGTAAGGTGCACTGCGTTTAATATCGTGCCCATCACTCTAAGTTACCAGATAAACGTCGTGGCGCATGTATGCACCCCGCGCCCGTACCCAGTCGGCCAACACGTCGCCTAAGTGCTGTGCGGACATATTAGTGTTATTCTATTAGTATACTATACTTTGTGGAGGCCCTTGGAAATATTACTATGCTACATATATCACATGTAAACCCATGTAATATTCTCTTCCTTAATATGTTCATATTCTGCTAAATAATTATTGTTCCTGCATGTCTACAACAATATTTACGTGAACTGCTGATACCATAGGGACTTGTACTGAGTATAGTGCTCCCCTATTCTATTTATGGTTGCGCTAAGGCAGAACTATATGCAAAAAAAAAGAAAAAATAAAAGCATAGTATAAGAAAAAGAGAAAGAAAAAGAAAGGACAAAAAACAAAGTACTACTACACTGCCTACA